TAATGAATGCTCTTTGTAGACTGGAGAATATATTTTCAGCTTATGAAGCAAGTCAAATTCAATTTTTCATGATATGACCTCTGTAACATTTAATACAAGAGAAATCAATCTGTGACTTTTAGATGCTGGAGAATTTCCAGCATGTGTCCGTCCAGCTGGTTTGCGAGTGATTGATCAGAAGTGTTGTCGGTTAGGACATGTTTTAGGTGAAGTGAGAGTACAAGTCTACCAGAAACTCTTTCATCCACCATATTCATTAATTGTCCCACAATAACAAGATAATTTCAGACTGTCAACAAATTAGCAAAGCTCGATGAGGCAGACACACACATACAGCTGAGAAATATGAGCTGCTTGAATTTCCTATGTCAATAACATCTGTGTAAATCTGCTAATACAAATGGAGCGAAACGGTGGAGAGTTATAAGAGTTGAGCTCAAATTGCAAATGCAATGGGAATTGTCAAAGCAACACACTGGAGAATCATATTTATAGTTAACAAGCTATCCATATTTTAAGCAATAAAGAATAGTTGATAGTATAATGAAATCTAGTGACCCTCTTGACTGGAGTAAAGAACCATATTTTTAGTACCCAATGGTGAATTGCAAACAAGGGAATCATTTTAATTAGTTTTCTTTAAAGGTGAACAAAACCAAAAGATTACTTTCTTTATTTAATTTTACCACGTCATATGTCCTATTTTAGCGATTTACCTATCTTATATGAAACTATGATTTGCCTGTCCAAACTGGCGGCCACAGCAGTAGCGTGCGCCGATGCTATAGTGTCCTTTCGGTCTGATATGTGCCCCCAGACCACAATTTCAACCGAGGGGGTTCTAATCAATTCTATGCTGCAATCATGTCTTATAACTACCACAAACTGCCACTGAGAAGCTTCCTGCTCCAGTCATGCTTGCGAAACAGTGTCTGGTTGATAAACTAGATGTTTCATCATCGGACTCAGGCTCAATTTTTTTTATTTTTTTTTTTAAGCTAAAATCAATACCATCTTTTCTGTCTATATATTCTCTCTGTAGCTGTCATTCAATTATGGCAACAGGCATTTCGTTTCTGACACGCGCTGTACGCGGTAGACCAATAACAAAGGACTGGGCCATCTGAACAATCAGAGCAGAGTAGGCTCACGGAAAGGAAGGGTTTAGAGAGCCTGATTCATTGAACTGCTTCGAACGAATCGTTTACAAATCATTGAACAATGTGGTGAAATTAAATGTATATTATGAGAAAACAAAAGTATTTTTTGAACTTGCATGTAAACCTGTTGTAGGAGCCACCCAAAACAATATAAGGGACCTTAAAAATGGGTCACTTTAAAACATTTTCTCTGAAAATTAGAATAGTTTATAAGAGTGTAATAATAAACGCAGCATGGCTGTGAAAGCAATAGTGAATAGATGAGTTCACCTGTCTGGTGTGATGATTTTTAATGTCATGACCAGTGTTAATTTTGACAGCAAATTTTGATTTGCTTTTAGTCATAGTCTTTTGACTAAAATGCCATTTAGTTTTAGTCATCATTTATTAAGCATTTCTCTAAAATTTCCAAACTCATTATATAGGTTTGATATTAAGGTTTTATCATGATAGATATTTAACTGCGGTGACACACAACATGCCTTTATGTTAAAATTAAATAAAACCACTTCTCATAAAGAACAAGAGCATGGTCTTCTTTTTAATGAAATACCAATGGTTATATAGGCTAATTATGCATTCTTTATAGCAACTTGTTTACCATATTCTTCATTCTTTCAAGCGGACATATTTATTTCTATAAATACATTTAGATGAATCTTTATGGCTATTAAAGTTTTTCAGTCAAGAGCAGTGCGTGCTTTTCTGTCTTTACCGAACACCGCAAGCACTCGTCGGAAATGTAACGGCTGTAATGAAATGTGTTTATGCGTGTAACAAAGTTCGTAGTCATGGGAAGAAGGAGGCGGGAACCGGCGAACATTCCAACCAAACTTTAATAATAAAATAAACACAAAACAGTGCGACAGCCCCTCGCGGACGACTGTCGTGCACAAACAAAACCAAAACACAAAATAAAGTCCAGGCCTGGTCCTCTCTCGTCTTTCACTGTCGTCACTCCTCCTTTTCATCGTTCTGGAGCTCCTCCGTGAGACTCGAGATCGGTGAGTGGTGCAGGTGTCGCTCATTATCAATTACTCCACCGGCCTCGCTCCGTTCCCACGGCTCTCGGCCCCACCCTCGTCACAGAAGCGTTCGAGAGAGGCGGGGCATAGAGGACCTACAATAATGTACAGTATTTGAAAAAGAATGTGTTTTTTGAACATTAAAGCA